TGATCTTTTCAAAGAACCAGCTTTGGGTTGCAGTGATTTTCTTAATGTTTTTCTGATTTCTATTTCACTGATTTCTGCTCTAAGGTTTATTATTTCTTGTCTTACTTGCTTTGGCTTTCATTGCTCTTCTCAATCTTCCTAAGGTAGAAGCTTAGGTTATTAATTTAATATATTTCTTCTTTTCTCACATATGCATTGAATGTTATGTGTTTCCCTCTAAGCAGCGCTTTTGCTGCATCCCACAAAGTTGATAAGTTGTATTTTCATTTACATGTAGTTCAAAATATTTTCTTAATTTATCTTAAGGCTTCTTGGACCCCTGGGCTATTTAGAAATCTGTTCATTTCCAAATATTTGGGGATTTTCTAACTATCTTTCTGATTCCTAGCTTAATTCCATTGTGGTCTAAGAACAGACTTTTCAAGATTTCTCTTCTTTTAAATTTGTCAAGGTGTGTTTATAGCTAGAACATGGATCTATTTGGTAAATGTTCCTTGTAAGCTTGAGAAAAGCACATATTCTGCTATTGGATGGAGCACCTTGAATTTTAGAACACTAAACCTAAATACTTTTAGAAGACTATTCTATTTTTAAAATAGTATTTAAGTTTATCTTCAACTTCCCAGACAATGGGTCTATGAGTAAAGGTAGAAGAAAGACAGGAAGTATGGGTCCAAAACCGAATACCCTGTTTGATCTTCCAGAAGATGATTCAATACACATACTTTCAGAAGCCTTCACAAATCAATTGTTCTATGGCATACTTTAAACGGCTTGCACATTGTAAAGTTTTCCTCTTACAATTTGATGATAAACCAGAAATCAAGCAGATATAATACATGTGAGTTCATATGAAAGGAATAAACCTAATGCAATGTTTTCTATAATTATGGTTACAGTTGGAAAGAGTAAAGCTTCTGGGTCATTTTTTAAAGAAGTAAGAAAAGGCAATGTTTGTCAAATGCAAAGAGGAAGATTTCATTTTTGTCCCCTAAGAGATTATTAAAAATAACATTTCATATAAACTTCTTCTAAGGGTATTTGAAATCTTCATTTATGTGACACTAGTTTTTAATTTAAACATAATTGGAAATAATAAAATATGAGTAAATTAACACAGAAAAGGGGGCAAAAGCACATGTCACTGACTACTGTTTTCTATAGTAGTCTCTCAGATATTATAGTTAATCAGACTCCATTAGGATACTTCCATTTTGCCAGCCAATCTCTTGATAACAAAATTATTCTTCACATAATCTAGCAACATCTACCCAAGAGAATCTATAGATGAATAAATAGAGAATGGACAGTAACTAATCAAACTGCAATCAATTCAACAAAATTCAATCAACTAATCAACTGTGCTCTTACAGGACTTCACTCAAACCATTCCACAGGGGGTTACACTCTGTTTCTACAGCTCACCCTGGTAGAAGTTTTTGAAACTCCCATTGTATTGATTCTAAATCAATAATGCTTTATTTCTTCCTTGAGTCTTATCTCAATTCCTGTTATTATGATTTAAGTAAACCAACTATTACTTCAATTTTTGATAGCCATGCTATTTCCATCAAATAATATGATTGAATAAAACTGATTCTCGACAATTGTTAGCATGAATGTAAAGCAAAAGAAGTGCTACAAGAGTAAAATTTTGGTTTCCAGTTCAACCAAGGATTTTGCTAAAATAATAATAATAACATATTTAAGTGACAGCCTAATTCTTAAGTGTGGTGATTCCTTTGAAAATTACCTTTTGTTGAATCATCCTCTATTGGCTGTTTGAACAATGTAATATCCTTGAAAGTACATAGGAACAAGACCACCTTTTCATGTTCATTTCTTATTGGTGCAATTTGCATATAAAACCAAACAGGGGTTCCTGTAAAACAGAGAAAGGACAGTGGATGCAACATAGCTATAGCAATGGTTTGGTCTCCTGCCTTCCCTCTTTCTTCAGTTGCCAATGGCTGTGCCAGGAACCAACATCAAAAGAACAGTATTTCAATTGCTTTTGGAATCAAATAGCTTTAATTCTGTATCAACTATCAATTACTCAAAAATTAACAAACATTTTTCAACCCAAAATATGAAAATTCAAAAGTAAAGCACAAGGTGTCATTTAACAGTGCAGGAGCACAGAGTCTCACCACTTACATAACCGCAGCATCGCCCGGGTCCCTGCCCCACCGCTGCTCTCACCAACTTCCTTCCAGAGATTCACCAAGTGTGACCCTCTCACATGCCTCTCTCATCACTTTGACAAGTGTTTCCAGTTGACTTCAACAGCAATACCTGATGCTCTGATAGGTATTGCTCTTGAGGAAACACCTGAAATGCTATTTCTATCTCAAGGCTTTCCCGTGGATCAGACAGACTTACAATACAGCTCTGTGGCTTTGACTGCACATCCCTATCAGAGAGAGAGAGAGAAGACACCAGCAACACTGGATGCCTGGTATATTCACAGCTCTACTTGAAGCTTTTAAGGTATCCTTAAATAAAAGATGTGTCCCCAGACCCCAAAACTCTCAGGTGTCTTCATGAGCCACTGCTTCCTATCTCCCTCACTCAAAGCATAATGCTGGATTTGTTGCCATGTTCTTCAAACAATGGCTCCTGCAGACTCCAGAGAAGAGTTTCAAAGCATTCAAGGCTTAGGATTTGGACAAATCAGAAACCAGCATAATGTCAAATCATAAATATCTGAAGAACAAGAAATGCTTTCAGAGGAGAAATTATCTGTTAAATGATAAAACACATCTTTTAATATATCATTGAATTCCATTTGTGTTGAGGATTTTTACATCTATTTTCATAAGAAATATTGGTATGTAATTTTCCTTTTTTGTAATGTCTTTTTCTGGTTTTGGTTGAGGGCAGTACTGACCTCATAGAATGAGTTACGAGAGTTCCCTCTGCTTCTATTTTCTGGAAGAGACTGGATTCACCAAAGAACTCATTTGCACCAGGTATTCCCTTGCTTTAGAAGTTTATTAATTATTGATTAAATGTATTTAATATAGGCTGATATATGATGACTCAGGTTATCTATTTCTCCTATGGTGAGTTCTGGCAGTTTGTGTCTTTCAAGGACCTAATCCTTTGACTGTAGAGTTGTTCAAATTATTCCTTTATAATAATGTCCATGGATGAGTTGTGATGGTCCTTCTTTAACTTCTAATATTGGTAATTTTTGCCCTTTTTTTCTTGATTAGCCTGGCTAGAGGTTTAACTTTATGATCTTTTCAAAGAACCAGCTTTGGGTTGCAGTGATTTTCTCTAATGTTTTTCTGATTTCTATTTCACTGATTTCTGCTCTAAGGTTTATTATTTCTTGTCTTACTTGCTTTGGCTTTCATTGCTCTTCTCAATCTTCCTAAGGTAGAAGCTTAGGTTATTAATTTAATATATTTCTTCTTTTCTCACATATGCATTGAATGTTATGTGTTTCCCTCTAAGCAGCGCTTTTGCTGCATCCCACAAAGTTGATAAGTTGTATTTTCATTTACATGTAGTTCAAAATATTTTCTTAATTTATCTTAAGGCTTCTTGGACCCCTGGGCTATTTAGAAATCTGTTCATTTCCAAATATTTGGGGATTTTCTAACTATCTTTCTGTTACTGATTCCTAGCTTAATTCCATTGTGGTCTAAGAACAGACTTTTCAAGATTTCTCTTCTTTTAAATTTGTCAAGGTGTGTTTATAGCTAGAACATGGATCTATTTGGTAAATGTTCCTTGTAAGCTTGAGAAAAGCACATATTCTGCTATTGGATGGAGCACCTTGAATTTTAGAACACTAAACCTAAATACTTTTAGAAGACTATTCTATTTTTAAAATAGTATTTAAGTTTATCTTCAACTTCCCAGACAATGGGTCTATGAGTAAAGGTAGAAGAAAGACAGGAAGTATGGGTCCAAAACCGAATACCCTGTTTGATCTTCCAGAAGATGATTCAATACACATACTTTCAGAAGCCTTCACAAATCAATTGTTCTATGGCATACTTTAAACGGCTTGCACATTGTAAAGTTTTCCTCTTACAGTTTGATGATAAACCAGAAATCAAGCAGATATAATACATGTGAGTTCATATGAAAGGAATAAACCTAATGCAATGTTTTCTATAATTATGGTTACAGTTGGAAAGAGTAAAGCTTCTGGGTCATTTTTTAAAGAAGTAAGAAAAGGCAATGTTTGTCAAATGCAAAGAGGAAGATTTCATTTTTGTCCCCTAAGAGATTATTAAAAATAACATTTCATATAAACTTCTTCTAAGGGTATTTGAAATCTTCATTTATGTGACACTAGTTTTTAATTTAAACATAATTGGAAATAATAAAATATGAGTAAATTAACACAGAAAAGGGGGCAAAAGCACATGTCACTGACTACTGTTTTCTATAGTAGTCTCTCAGATATTATAGTTAATCAGACTCCATTAGGATACTTCCATTTTGCCAGCCAATCTCTTGATAACAAAATTATTCTTCACATAATCTAGCAACATCTACCCAAGAGAATCTATAGATGAATAAATAGAGAATGGACAGTAACTAATCAAACTGCAATCAATTCAACAAAATTCAATCAACTAATCAACTGTGCTCTTACAGGACTTCACTCAAACCATTCCACAGGGGGTTACACTCTGTTTCTACAGCTCACCCTGGTAGAAGTTTTTGAAACTCCCATTGTATTGATTCTAAATCAATAATGCTTTATTTCTTCCTTGAGTCTTATCTCAATTCCTGTTATTATGATTTAAGTAAACCAACTATTACTTCAATTTTTGATAGCCATGCTATTTCCATCAAATAATATGATTGAATAAAACTGATTCTCGACAATTGTTAGCATGAATGTAAAGCAAAAGAAGTGCTACAAGAGTAAAATTTTGGTTTCCAGTTCAACCAAGGATTTTGCTAAAATAATAATAATAACATATTTAAGTGACAGCCTAATTCTTAAGTGTGGTGATTCCTTTGAAAATTACCTTTTGTTGAATCATCCTCTATTGGCTGTTTGAACAATGTAATATCCTTGAAAGTACATAGGAACAAGACCACCTTTTCATGTTCATTTCTTATTGGTGCAATTTGCATATAAAACCAAACAGGGGTTCCTGTAAAACAGAGAAAGGACAGTGGATGCAACATAGCTATAGCAATGGTTTGGTCTCCTGCCTTCCCTCTTTCTTCAGTTGCCAATGGCTGTGCCAGGAACCAACATCAAAAGAACAGTATTTCAATTGCTTTTGGAATCAAATAGCTTTAATTCTGTATCAACTATCAATTACTCAAAAATTAACAAACATTTTTCAACCCAAAATATGAAAATTCAAAAGTAAAGCACAAGGTGTCATTTAACAGTGCAGGAGCACAGAGTCTCACCACTTACATAACCGCAGCATCGCCCGGGTCCCTGCCCCACCGCTGCTCTCACCAACTTCCTTCCAGAGATTCACCAAGTGTGACCCTCTCACATGCCTCTCTCATCACTTTGACAAGTGTTTCCAGTTGACTTCAACAGCAATACCTGATGCTCTGATAGGTATTGCTCTTGAGGAAACACCTGAAATGCTATTTCTATCTCAAGGCTTTCCCGTGGATCAGACAGACTTACAATACAGCTCTGTGGCTTTGACTGCACATCCCTATCAGAGAGAGAGAGAGAAGACACCAGCAACACTGGATGCCTGGTATATTCACAGCTCTACTTGAAGCTTTTAAGGTATCCTTAAATAAAAGATGTGTCCCCAGACCCCAAAACTCTCAGGTGTCTTCATGAGCCACTGCTTCCTATCTCCCTCACTCAAAGCATAATGCTGGATTTGTTGCCATGTTCTTCAAACAATGGCTCCTGCAGACTCCAGAGAAGAGTTTCAAAGCATTCAAGGCTTAGGATTTGGACAAATCAGAAACCAGCATAATGTCAAATCATAAATATCTGAAGAACAAGAAATGCTTTCAGAGGAGAAATTATCTGTTAAATGATAAAACACGGAAGGCATACTTCATCACAATCAAAAAGACACATTTTCCACCATGTTCTCTCCAAGCCATAGTGCAGTAACGCCTCTTCAAACATTCTATCTTAAAGACATAAAGGCTTTTGTTAGGTTTGGGATTTAGGGAGTGAAATGTGCAGCTATTAACAGTCTCTAGGTAAGAGTTGATAGCCTGCTAATGGTTTCCAATGAAAACCAAATAAGAAGCACCTCCATACACATGGCCCAAAAAAGTCAGGTAATAATGTCACCTCAAAGGGGAATTTGCCATTTAAACAAGATGAAGTGACAATTACTGGGTTCAAGAAGTCAGAGAATTTGAGGAGATTTCTATGGGAATATTCAGTTCTGACAACCAAGCCCTTTGTAACTCCAAGGGGCCTACAGAAGAACACAACCCTTTCCAAAATGATTACAGGATGAGACAGGGGTCTCAGAAACAATCACACTCTCTGCCGGAGAGGCTTGTTCTTTATTTTCTGCTTCTTATTTTAGACAGTGTGTCTAGGAACTGTGAGTGATGTACAGTTTTACAAATCACCAGACCCAGATGCTAGCAGACACGTAGCCTATGGCTGTTCCAACACAGTGAGCTTAAGGCAGCAGGGTCATAAACAGAGAAAAGGGCATTAAAAGTAAGTCATTTTCCAGGACCTGTTAAAAATCTGAACAGAAAGAAATAATATTACATTTTGTACCTTCCTATGAAAACAGCAACTTTTCAAATTTTGGCATAGAGTCAGGGCTATTTTTAAAACTGCTTTCAGATACCAAGGTAGATTTTTTTCAAGTTGAACTGTAAGGTAAGACTTCCCCAAGCAGACTGAGTATTTGCTGAGTGGCTGGTGAAATATCCATATTCTGGTGTTGGGGTTCAGAGGAGCCAGAAGTCTGGGCAGGTTAGGCAGAGAGGCCTGTTGCTGCTGAAAATTCGGGCAGTACCCTGGCCCAAGCGATCATAGTTGTGCCTTTTGGTAGACAGAGAGACCCATTTAAATCATCATCCTAGAGCTGCTGTTTCTTTCTCTCCAGTCGGCATAGCCTCCTGCTAATCAGAGCAATGTACCTAAAGAGTAGAAGCTACAAAATGAAATGTCAATCATGTCACATGTTAAGTCAGATGCCTTAATCTCCCATTTGCAAAATGGTGTTTACCCTAATTACTTAATGGAAGTGTTGGGAGGACTTGGCATTCAAGCATTTCCCACAGTTTTCTACAGACATATGAATTTTTCTATCTAACATAAAAAAAGTCACAAGAACAGACTTTCATCAGTTGATGTTCAAAAGCCTTCAGCTAACAGTTTACAAGGCTTTTTAAACTGCTTTTAAGTATACTAGAACTCCATTAAAATACATGGATAACATCTATCCTTCATATTAAAGAAAGAAAAAAAACAAAAAACTCAATGCAGACACCACACCGACTAGACAGGAGCTTTATTCTATAGCACTGTGGGCTGGGTCTCCTACGTGCTGTAAGCAGACACCTTCTACACATACATAGATACTTATCTGAAAAGAACCAGACCGGCCTAAACAAAAACCAGACAATTATTTTAAATCATTAAAATAAAGCAAAATACCTAGGCCACCTCAGAAGGAAACTTTTGGAAATGTAAAATTCAGGTTATTGCTAAGTTGATTTAAGGGATATAAACAAAACAGAATTTCCACAAAGGTATTTTTAAGAAAATCAGAAACTATGGACTTAGCCTTGATACTTCAAAATCAAAGATTTGTGTGTTCTGCTTAAATATAAAAGTGAAATGACCTCAGTAATATGGAATATACTTAAATTATTTGCTAAACTCAGGGTACATATCTAAGTCATTCAAGGGATAAAAACCCTTGTGTCATATGAAAATGACAGGGAGTTTTGGCATATGGGTCTGCTTCGAATTATCAGTATATATTTTGGACCTGGTGAGAAAGACCCAGAAAACTCCTAGAGCCTGACTTTTCTCTTGCAGAGGAAGGAGTTAATCATTCACAGTGTTTTGTTTTCTAGGTGAAAAGAGATAGGCATTTGGCTATGACTTCAAACAGAAATAAACCTCTTCAGTCTTGATTCTAAAATGAAAGATAAAATGATATGGTATTCCTTAGGTAAAACCATTAAAGACTAATGCTCCCCTTACCATGAACGCTCCTGTGAATAAATGCCTATGACTGTTGTTATTCTTTGATGGTCTAGTAAAAAAAAAAATAGAAACCTAAATTCAATTCCAAAAATTCCACAGAGAATAAATGCTTGAGATAAAATGGAAAGGAGAAATTATGCTCCATAAAATCCAATAATACTGAACATGAAATAAGTGTTTCCTGTAGAAACAGGGGAAAAAATTTAGTAACCATCAATTTCCACTAAAGATAATAATTGGCTAGCTATCACTTATCATTAACACTAAATAAATTGACTCATCTTACAAAGTAACTATTCATTAAAAAAAAGAGAAAGTAATTTGGGAAAGCAATAAAAAGAAAGAAAAGTAGGTGACTAATCCAAGAAAACAAATTAGACAATAGACTTGGCTGATCAGTGTACTAGTTGGGTTTTTTCTTTGGTTGGTTTTTTTCCTCCACACTCTGGCAGAGAGTCCATATCATGAGATCCTGTATGATTATATAATGGACAACTGACCACTCACAAATTCCATTCCAGAGAACAGCTCACAACAATCAATACAAATTCACCAGTTGTGAATGGCCTGTTTGGAAAGTACCACCAGCCTTCCTCGCAAAACAGTCTGAGTCTAACAAAAGGCCATACTAGTACAGACCGATCTCAAGTAGATAACATATATTCACGTGTTATCTGTGTACATGTAGAAAAGTAACCACACATACCCAGTGATACAAATATCCTTTTCCTTTAACCATAAGAAAAAATGAATGAATTTCTCTGTCATTTTTAGCTGTCATGTAACCACAGGATCTTTACCATGAGCATTAATTACAAAACATTTTGTTCCAACATACATACACACACACACACACAAAATCATTTAAAATACACCATATTCTTCTTACATTACTCAAAAGGTCACTCTTCATAAGTAGAATCATTTGTTAATTTGTTATCTAATTTTACCATCACCCCTTGCCCCAGCCAAGAGAAGGAACAAAGTTTTATATTCTCTGTACACTAAAGATCAACTAGTTTTTCCCAAAACATAACATTAATAAGAGTTGGCACAGCCTATGGATAATTTCGATACCTACTGTTTTTCTTGTACAAAAGAACTTCAAAGCAGTTTGACTCGTAGTTGTCAAAAGTCTGCCTGACTTTCTCAACGGTCTTCTTATCAGTCAACTCCCCATACATAAAACTGGGGGGGAAAAAACAAACAATTCGTTTCAGTTTTGTGTTGCTTTTCAAATGCTACATAAAACCATATGGTTGTATTTAAGTATTCAAATTTGGTTACAAAATACATGTACTTGAGTTGCCTCCTTGTCTCTCAATGATGAACCCACATGACATTTTACAAAAATGCAAAATCAAAAGCAGGAATTAGCCATCAAAGACTAAAGCACCACAATGATATGAAAAATGATAATGCTGGAAGTGACATTCAAATTAAAAATAAAGTTATAGGAGAAATACATGATTGTGGGAATGTTGACACTGCTGACATTTGAGAGACTCTTGATGCAGCCAAAGGAATTTAATGAGGGTGAACTTATCAGCATAAATCAGGAACATGATTTTGACCAAAAGGATCAAGGTTTCCCAGAGGACGTGATGCCAGTAAAAAAAAAAAGTCACATTATAGGAGCCATAGGAGATAGTTCACAGTAGTGAAAGTAGAAAGATAAAATAGTTGAAGCTGATTTAAACTTATAAAGGAGTATAACCATTTGCTAAGAGAAAAAAAGGTTCTCTACCTATCAAGTTATACAAGAGAAGGAAAGTATTGTTCAAGTGACTTGTGACGATTTTTTACAAAGAAATTTTTAAATTTTCAATGTTTCTAATGTTCTAAATCACAATGTACTAAATAGATATTAGTTTTACTATTACTATCATTTCCCTGCTTCTATTACCAACAGCAAGAGCTTTTTTAATGTTTTGCTGGTATTGCTAAGTCATAGAACAATCATAATTTTTTCCATTGAGTATTAAGATTGCATTACACGGTTTCAGCATGCATGGTTTTTTTAGGCTCCAAGACTACAGTGAAATGTGAAGACTCCATATATTCACTGGCATTATCATTTATGAGGATTTCTTAATATACGTACAAATGTAGCTAATGGAAAGAAAATCAAGGTGACAAATTGAAGGAGGCATACACTATTACCATGGCTAGCAGAGTACGTAAAACAAAAAGAGTGAGTTTTACATCCCACAAAAATTTCCTAATGTCTGAAAATTTTTTATTACTTTTTTATAATATTTGAAGTTTAATATTTTTCTAAAGGAACTTCACCAGAACTCTGATAATCTACAAAAAAGAACTCAGTCAAGGACCACAAGCCTCTAAAACTCTATTCTTGAAGTTTTTACAATCATCAGTTGGGCTTCTGGCTTTAGATAAAGTACAACTCAATAGTATAATTGTCTAGATCATTTCTTCCACCAGGAAAGAATATGCAGCACTGCTAGACATCTTGGGTAAGTTTTTGAAGGCTCAAGTATGTCTTTGTTATTATTTTTCTCCCAGTTTTTATTAAATTAGCATATTGGCAAGAGGCAAATCCAACTGTGGTAGGGCCTGAAGCTTATATAATTTTAGGGGCTCACTTAAGGAAAAGAATACAAAATTATAAAACAAAATTAGGCACAGAGCCTTAAAAGACATCCACTCAAGGGAGGGCCTCTGAAGGTGAAGATTCATTATCCTCATGAGAAATCTGACCCTGAATGTATCAATCTAGAAAATTTACAACATGAAAAGCATAGTTTGTTAGCAATATCCAGCAGAATTAGCAGGATTGAATAGCAATGCCACATCACCACTAGAAATTACACAGTAAGGGCCCACCTTATGGTAACACTAACTTAAGCAACTAGAATTCTAGAAACCATGAAATGAAAGGAAGTAGGTGAAGTTGACCAAGATTGCCCAATCTGCAGTCTGCATTTTTAATTACAGTATTTCTTCTACAAAAGAGAAAAATTTCCATTGTTATTATAATAGTAAAATAAGCAAGAGAATCTCAGAATAAAATGACAGACTCTATTTCCATATCCCACAGCTAGACTAACACATACAGCTTCAGAGCCTACCTGTAAGGTGGCATTAAAAAGCCACTATTCTTGACAAAGCCTGAATTTCAGCTCAAGTGAGTTTTATGAAAATCTCTTGAAGGCATTACAGTTAAATTGGTATTTCTCAGTTAAAGAGCATAAAGTCACCCTCTTTCTCACCAAAAAATAAAACACTAGTTTAATATTGGTAATATTTTTTACAAACAGATTAAACTTTTTATTTAACCAAGGTTTCTTTTACTGTTATCTTTAATCTAAAGACTCTTTAATAAATAGAACATATTAAGAGAGAAGTTAAGCAAGCTGTTTGGGGTCTTAAAAAAAGAAAAGAAAAGCTATTTTACTCCTGTTGCAAAATATCAGAGTTCTACGGTTCAATAAATTAAAATACAGTATTCACAATTGGTTGACAGAAAAGCATTTAAAAAAAAAAGAAAGCACCTATAATATAACAAGCAACTAGGAATAACAAATTGTAAAGAAGTAACTCTAATTGGGTTAAAAAATAAGTTACAACTCAAATTAAAAAAAACTGTTGGAAATTGATGATTACATAATACCACTTAAGAAACACAACACAAGCCTGATTTAGCTAAAATTCTGGAGATGAAAACAAGGAATTTTTCAAATAAACTCTAAAAATTCTGTAATATATTCTTCATTAGTTTAGCCCTCCCAATACTAAAATCACTTATCCTAAGAAAATAGAAGTACTTTAAGAAATCATCCCAGATCATTACATTCTGAATACTTCTTTAAAATAGTCTTTTACTTCTTACACTGTTTCACTCATAAAGTTTATCAAACCACATATTTCCAGTGACAGAACACAGAAGTGGTAAAATGCAACAGTTAAATAATAAAATATATTTTTAAATGGACTATAAGGAATGTCTGAAATATATTATCAATCCTTCCAAAACAAGTGTTCTAGAGGTTAATTGAAACTATGAAAGTATTTCTATCCAAAGTTGTGCAAACCATACTGACTACTAAATTAATGCTTCCAGGCACTCTACACATATGGCGCTTTGTTTATTTCCATGGCATTTTTACACATAAGTGTCGAATGTGTTTATCCAGGTTTCCCACAGCCTGGCAGCCTGACCCTCTACAGATAAAGCCCGATGCAGTCTTTGAATGGTTAATGGGATTTGAAAGGAACTGAGATTCAGAAATTATAATCAGCAGGCTTTAGAAACTATATATCTCCATACTAATTTTACACAGTTTTTGTGTCCCCTATTGAATAATCTTCAGGACTATATAGTGGAATATTTTAAAAATTACAGGATTTCAAATCACTCTGCTAGACAGAACACCAAGCTCCCCTTCGGCAATTATAAATGACTTCCTACAAATGCAGTCATTTTATCAGAAAGAAAATAAAATTAAATACACAGAAGCGATCTATCTCTGCTATAATATTCAGCAGTCATGATATCACAGAGGACCACTGCACTTGGAGGACCATTTACAAACCGTATCATGGGCGATGCCTATAATCTCTCCGACTCTAAATTTCCTTATCAGTAAAATGGTGATAATGTCAATATAACTCAGTGAGGATTAAAAGGATAATGCACACGATGTTGCAAATTATAATGTTCTACACAAGGGCTTACTTATTACTGGAATGCTTCTTATGGGTGGGGTTAGAAGAATTCCCTCCCCCACAACCAACTCATCCCAAACTCCACTACTGCCTTGGTCTACAATTATAGTACAGGGGTTGAGCCATGCTTGCTAAGGGGCAAGGCACTGTGTCTTGCAGGGATACACACATAATTTTGTGTTTCTGTCTTTATGATCCCGTGAAGCTAAAACATAAACTCACCCAGTGCCTGCTCCTAGATAATACAGCCACTTGCCACACAGCTAAGTAGTTGGTAACATTTGGTCTTGGGAGTAAGGGAGTAGTTTTCTGGAGGCCTGCCCTGGGCTATGTCCAGCTTGCCTGGGCATTTGGCAATATATCTTTCATGTATGCTCTGTCCTAGCAAATGTCTAAGAACAGGTGGCTTTGATTTATAGCAGGATTTAATTTTTCTTGGATCCC